GCTGATTAATGTTTGAGCATTACATGGGTAACTGTAGGGGGCTAAACAGACCTACTATTTAAAGCATATTAAATAGTATTAGCCACGAACCTCTGAATAAGGATCAAACTGGCGAGTTTAAGCGACGTAGATTCCTAATGAACGAGTAAATATAAGTAAAGAGTTAACTAGAATAATCAAATGTCCGAATAATTAGAGACCGACAAACAACCAATTTGCCTTTCAACCTAAATTCGAGGTCATACTAAAATGGAGTCAGATTAGATAATAAAATGGAGTCAGATTTGAGTTAAATCTAAATTGAATAACTCTGCGCGCTGAAAAGACCGAACACGCAAGTAACCTCCATCCGCCACTGGATACCTTCATTGGGCCAAGTGCGTGGACCTTACACGCACGCACACTGGATTAACTATGGCAGAGGCACCTAGGAGTGAAACTGTGTTTCCTCCAAAAAAGCACCTGAAGTCAGCAGTTTGGGATTATTTGGGGTACACAAAGAATGACCAGGGCGTCACTGAAAGATGACGGATCACCTGTCTGCCAAACGTGCCGTAAAAAGGTTGCTGCTAAAGGATCGAATACATCAAATTCGATGCAGCATCTGCGGGATCACCACCCAGCTTTGCACGCTCAAGTAAAGGTAATACATAATAACGGAGTTAAATTACGTGGCAAATTACTTAATGAAATATGTTGGTAGGGAATTAAATATAAACGTGTCACTTAGAATCAATGCTGTAGCGTTGAGAGTTGTGGGCTTTCAGTGCAACGTAAACAAAGCCGCATGTAATGTTCGTCACGTGTAAAATTAGATGAATTATTAAAAAGAATATGTATGGATGATAGTTGATGACAATAACAGTTCAGTTAATAAGTTAAAATTAGTCTTATATTAATAATAATATTAAATATTGTAGAAATATAATTGTTAATGTAATGAAATATTGAAAATCAACTTAAATCATTACTGCAAGTCCAGTCAAAGTTCATCTTGGTATGGATTGTTTTTTTTTTTGTTTTTTTTTTCACTTTTAGCACAAGACTAGTGGTGTAGTTGCAGTTCAACAAACAACTGTTGCAGAATCCTTTGCAAAGTGTGTGACTTATGCTCCCACTTCAAAACAAGCCCAGGATTTGAATAAAGCAGTGGCCTATGTCATCTCCAAATATATGATGCCATTTCAGATTGTGGAAAAACCTGGATTTCTTCATCTGATGAAAAAGGCAGTGCCACAATACAAAGTTCCAAAAAGAAGCTACTTCTCCACAAACAAAATCCTAGCCATGTACAAGGAGGTACGACCAAGTGTGAAGGAACAGCTGGCAAAGGGTGTGTGGTTTGGCGTAACCACAGACCTGTGGACCAGCCATGGTGGTGGAGGAGAACCCTTTATGAGCTTTACAGTCCACTACCTCTCTACTGATTGGAAGATTAAGACTCTTGATACTCTTTATTTTCCAGAAGACCACACAGCAGAGCATATCACTGAAATTAGAGAAAACATGCTTCTGGCTGGAAGATAAAGAAACAGAATCTGTCTGGAATTACAACAGACAATGCCAGTAACATGAAGAAAGCCTTTGCATACTTTCCCTGTGTTTGGTTTCCTTGTTTTGGTCATAATTTAAATATGGCCATTTCCAAAGTCCTCAAAATGCCAAGGGTTGAATCCACTACCTGAGCATGCCGACATTTGGTTCAACAAGTGGTTCAACCCTCGGAAAGGGTGTTTAGTGCAAGTGACAATATCCTGTCTCCACATCGGTCAAGACTGAGCACTGAGAATGGGAACGTGCTTACATTTCTGCACTATAATATGAATTGAAAGGACTGGAAATAAGTGTGCAATTTGTAACACTTCTGTCTGCAGGAGCCGGAGGAAGAACTCTCCATCTCGTAAGCAGGGAGAGGCTCGGCCCGAATCAGGGAGGCTCCTCGGACCCTCGCTCCAGCCTCCCACTCCACGCTCAGGGGCCAGGGGCAGAGGGGAGTGGGAGCGGGGCAGGGCCCTCAGTTCTGGAGGGCCAGGCTCGTTGGTGTAACCGCTGTGGTAATCCTCACGGTAGGCCCACTGGCCCTGTGTGTGCACTGTGCGATACTCTGCAAACTGACCGGCTGATTCCGGTTCGGACGAGTGGCGCTGGAATGAGCAACCGAACTGCAGGCCCTTGTCTTGAGTGGGGACCGTCAGCCCACCAAAACCCTCCATCTCAAGATCAGCCTGGACACTTGCTGTCACGCTATTGGAGCGTTTAAAACGGGCTCGTCTGGAACAAACAACAACAGGACAATTAGACTCAAATGTAGTGGTAGTACAAAATTTCGATATTTAGTGACTGGTATATTGATAATATTGGTGGCATTATGTTGATTACCACAAAATCTTTTTTTCATCTTGTCCCTCATTTTCTCTAATCAAAGCAAAATTGAAGTTACAGCGAGGCACTTACAATGGAAGTAAATAGGGCTGCACAAAAAAAGGCTAGTAAATTATTATTTTTTACAATTAAACCATGTTAACACTCATATTGTTTGAATGCCTTGTGGCTTTTTTGGTTTTGGTGGCCCCTCTGTCAAGCTCCTGAAGTTTGCAGACGACACCACACTCATCGGCCTCATTCAGGACGGTGACGAGTCTGCTTACAGACAGGAGGTTAAAGAGCTGGCTGTCTGGTGCAGTCTCAACAACCTGGAGCTCAACACACTCAAAACTGTGGAGATGATAGTGGACTTCAGGAGGAACCCCCCTGCTCTCTCCCCGCTCACCATCATGGACAGCACTGTGACAGCAGTGGAGTCATTCAGGTTCCTGGGCACCACAATTTCTCAGGACCTAAAGTGGGACACTCACATTGACTCCATTGTGAAAAAGGCCCAGCAGAGGTTGTACTTCCTTCGCCAGCGGAGCTGCTGAAACAGTTCTACTCTGCTATCATTGAATCCATCCTCTGCACTTCTATAACTGTCTGGTTCAGCTCAGCTACCAAATCTGACCTCAGAAGACTACAGAGTAGAGCCCGACCGATATATCGCTTTGCCAAATATATATTTGCGAATATGACCTATTGAGTTATTTATGTGTTTTTGACCTAAAATAACAGCAGCGTCCATCTGTGAAGGATGAAGACTGTCAAACACACAACTATTAGCCAATCACAGCAGTGTGTGTTTATTTCTGAGTCTACAATCCTCCACATCTATTCAAACAGAGAGTTCTGATGAGGGGTCAAAAACAGGACAGAAAATAGCTTATAACTTCTAAATTATGTTTTTTGATGTAAAAATCTTGACAACATTATAAGTGGACCTCAGAGAATGGTACAAAATAAAAAAACAGAGGCAGTTCATGAGCCCTTTAAAAATTACAATTACTTAAATTCCTTTTTTTTTTGCAAAGACATTTTTAATTATTGACAAGCCCAAATAATTTATTAATATGCCACTTCTCTGTCTCTGAATCTAATGGTGCCACTGATTTGATATAAAACAAATCAAAATACTGACCTCTAAACTCTGGACAACATCTGTAGCACTGAAGATTTATGAGCTTTAACTTTGATTTTCTTCATGTTTTAACAGTGAAGTGATTGTTCTCAGTGATACTTACTGAACTGATCTGGATTCTTTAATCACGGGCAGCAGCTTCTGAAGAACTTCCATATTTTCAGGATTTAGTGAATGATCACCCAGTTCATTCAGACAGTGGAACAGATTGATGGATTTCTCTGGAGAGTCAATGGTCCTGATCTTCTTCTTGATGTACTCAACTGTTTTCTCATTGCTGTCAGAGCAGCTTCTTTTCAGTGTCATTATTTGTTGTAGAAGAATCTGATGAGACTCCACTGACAAACCCAGAAGGAACCGCAGGAAAAGATCCAGATGTCCATTTTTACTCAGTAGAGCCTCATCCACAGCTCTCTGATGCAGCTCAGATAATGAAACATG